AGCCCTCGCGCAGGGAGGGAGGATGACTGCGCGTGTTGTCGCAGTGTGAGGAATAGGGAAGCAGGAGGCATTCCAGGATTAAAGGTATTAATTTTCTCTTCTCGCCCCCCTCCCCCCCAATTTTTGCATGCCAAGCCCATCGTCTGTGCGGGTCGTATCGCATGTACGGCCAGGTCTCTTCAGAAGCAGTTAAGGTTAAAATGGGATCGTCTTTTGGCAGTGGTACCCAGTGGAGTCTGAAATGTAGAACAAGTTAAATCTCTGGAGATGCAAGTCAAATATCTTCCTGTGCTTTCTGTGCTTAGCTGGAAGCCCGTAATCTGTGGGATCTTTTTCAATTTCTGCTGCGGAAAGCACACATAATTGTAAGCAAAACGTAAAAGCAATTGATGCTGGAATTTGAACGTACTGCTGAATTCTGTGAAACTGACTTAAGGTCTCAGTATTGATCGCTTTGGTGCCTTTCTTATGTATTTGCAGTTTGAGTACCAAAATTAGACTTTATTCCTTCTTAAACCCCCTCTAAACCAACAAAACACACACATCCCACCCACCCCTAGTTCAGTATACTTTTCTGTCTAAATCTCTCATTAATTAACCAGAGTGTTAGTACCTATCTAAATAATATTCAGAGAAATCCTGCGGGTTCTTTTCACACAGGAATGATTAGAAGTACTTTGCTCTGTGGGAATTGGTTGTCCCCCAAATACTGCAGAGTATCTCAAAATATACAGTGACTTGGCATCTGCAGAAGCTTTTACCCCTGTTTTAAGTGCTGCAGTGGGGGTTTTGGTAGAAATAAGACATGTTATTGTTTGAACTAATGATAGCTCAAACAAACAAACAAAAATAGAGAAGTAGGTATTTATTATGCCGTGGTTTGCCTGTGTGGTGAGTATATGTAATGTCTATGATGACATATGGAGCTCTTACTTCTGAAGCAAGATTCTCTGAAGAAAAATGTTACAAAGCTTCAGAAAACTACATGAGGTATTTATTACAGAATATGTGACTTCTTTTATAATGACAAAATATGTTTTTACCTGCAGATATTCACCATATTATGCAAGAAAGTATAGAAAAATAGTTGTCAGGTTTATTTATTTTTTTTTAAAATTTTTTTTCTTTAGAAAAATGCCCCTATTCTAGATGTCTGATGGTTTGGATACATTCCACATATTTCCAAAGGGATCTACCCAGCGCTTTTGGAGTGTTAGAAGAGGCCAGGAGATCAAGCCTGTCAGCAGTTATTAGGTAATTATTCCAGTAATCTAGCAGTCATTTTAGTAATCTGAAACTTCGGTTTGCAATCAAAATAAAATTTGTTCCCATGTTCTTCCAAATCTGATAGTGGTAAATTGGCATCATAGATTTAGTTGTGGAGAGTTCTGAAGAAGTGGGAGATTAAGTGACCAAGAAGCAGTCAGACACAAAGCCATTTTGCATTTATTTGTATAGTTAGGATTTTTCTCTAAGATGTTTCTAATGCTGTATGTTGGTTATGAGGGCCATAAATAGAATTTTGAAGGTGAAATGTGGCACACTGATGCTGACTGCTGAATGTGCTCACTCTGAACTGTCAACATCAAGAATGACTGAAGTATGATTTCTTGATTTTGAATCTCCATCCATGGATATTTTTTATACATTTTAAAAGTCTCTGTAGGATACATATGGCAAATTTCTTGTACATCCACATTTTCTAATGTTCTGTGCTTTTTTTTCCCCCCTTTTTTTCCTTGCCTGTATTTTAATGTTGTGTTAAGGAGTATTTTTGCATTTACTAGCTACTTGCAGATGTCTCATACTAATTGAGAACACATTAATCTAAGTCTGTAAATCCTTATGTAACAAGAAATTGAAATGAAACCTTAATGTCTGAAATAGAGAAATGGATAACATCTTCTAAGCTACCCTGCATCTACTTTTGCAAAGCACCGGTCTTAAAAAATTCACATGGCAGCATGTTGCAAGACAATTTTTTTATATGAGTTACTAATGTTTTTTAAATTTTGTGCTACAATTTATCAGTGTGAAGATATCTTGTAGAAACTGACAATGTTAATTTCTCACTTCTATATGTTTCCACAAATCTTCAGAAAATCCCAAGTGTTATTACTGCCTTGAAGTGCTGTGGCTTTTGGGGCAATCCTAAACCATGATGACACAGAATTTTTTTGATAGGCCTTGTATCAGTCCCTGACAAAAAAGATGAATGCTTGCCAATCTTTTTGATGAGCTATTTCCATCACCATAGTTGACACAGTGACTCTACAATGATCTGAGTGGGGAAGGAATAGTTTGGATTTGCTTCAAAGAGGGAGTTCATTTTATTTGGAAAGGTGCATATGAACTGTCAAAGCTAGAATCTCACTGTAAGTACCACAGCATTCATATTGGAGCATTTTTGCTGGATTTTGTTTTTCCCTTGTGAACTTCAGAACACTTAGCACTCGATTAATTTTTATTTTCTACATACCTAGAAGTTAATTGGGGCCATTTGAATCCTACTGATGGAAGTCAAATGGCCCTTATTAAGCACGAGGAGCTCTTTAGAGCTCCATTAATGCTTACCTAAAGTCCTGCCAGAATGATACTTTGCAACTACTCCTTTTGCAAACATTATGAGCTTCCTGGAAAGTTTACCAGAACCAGTGAACCTTTTAAACATTAATATTTAAAATACTAATGTATTTTAAAATTTAGAATGGAGTTTGTTGATGTCTGCTACGCTGATGGGTAAAAGAATAATTTGATATTGTATGGATATGGGAGAAAAAAGGTGACATTCTGAAGGAGTCAGCCTTGGAACCTGGAGGGCATTAGAGCAAATGTTCCTTTTCCAGGGTTGCAACCCCTTGGAGTCAGAATCTTTGACACCTGGACATTCTATAGTGCCCCAGTCTGCTGAATCCTCGTGTTCATGGCAGTGAGGGCAAGAACCTACAGGTTCTGTAGGGGTTAAGCAATAGCTCTTTGCTAGGAGCATTTCCCAGTTTCCCTCCTTGCCTTCTCACTGAAGTGTTCATACAACTCTATGGTTTCATAATTCTACCTCATTAGTTTATACTCATTCACCAACATTGAATTCCATATGCCCAAAACCAACCTCTAATGTATTAGAATAAATTTTTGGCTTTGTGTTTTGAAAGGTTAAGTAAAGCAGACATAATGGGTCTTGCTTTCAATATCAGTTTTAATCAGAATACAGGATCTCCAAAATTAAGACCACTATATGTAATTGTACTATTTGTTTTCCCAGTGTTAAAGTTCAGAAAATTGAAAATGTTAAAATACAGATCCATATTGTTTCAAAGGCAGTATTAATAAGTATGATCACATGGGGTTTTTATGAACATTCATTTCTGGGGACAGAGGAACAGTACTGCTTTACAGAGAGACCAAATTAACAATAATGGAAGAAAGACAAAAGCAAACATTCTGATTTAGGGATCACTTTTTACTTTCTGCAGTGGAGTGAGTGTCATGCCACTTCCCATTTATGCTTGTATTTGGTTTTGGAAGGATTCCAGATTGAAGTTTAATATGCACCACTGTCCAAACGCACCTTAGATGGCTACATTACTGTTAATTGATAGAAAAACTGACTGCCTAAAAGGATGGAAGTGCTTTACACTGCAGTTCAGGAGCCTTTGTGGCCAGGAGTAATAACAGAGTACTAACAGTCACTCTTCAGAATAAAGAAATGAAGACTAAATCCACTTTTCATGTATAATAAATGCTGCGGAACGAGTTGAGTAGGGTGTGGGTTTCACAGTTAGACACAGCAATGTGTTGACATGTTTATTTTCATCCTTGCTTAGTAGCAAAATGCTAAATATATTCTTCTTTGGTTACATTAAAGTATGTTTCCTTTCAACTTTGTCCTTGGGTTGACATGTGTTTGTTTTATTTTTAGCACTTGAAAACCAACACAGTTATATCCCTATAGGGTGCAGTGGAAGCACTGGAATATAGCATGAGAAAATGAAATCAGATGCTTAATACTGAATTGTTGCAGGTGAAGGGGCAAAGATCTTGATACTGGTTATGACCACAAAAAACAAGTGGACTGAATATTGATTTGTTGGGGAAATCATGCTTATGTGCTTGCTCAGCATGAACTTCTCTTGAAAAATATAAAATAGAGCTATGTGATAGAAGACTGCTTTCTATGCTTTTGTGGGTGGTTGTCAAGTGTTTAGTGTTCATTGAACATGAAATTTCTGTGAATTTATAATAGTATTTTATCCTTCCAAGCTTATCTTGGTGTTGTGGAAGGTGGGAGAAACATGCAAAAACGCTTCATGTCAATTATTGGCGAAAGAAATCTCAAAGGCGTGCAATTTACTCACCCAGAAAAACCTACCTTTTGAATTACATTTTATTTCATGGGGCTTTTTAGAGGGATGTAATATTATCCTAACTTTTAATGTCAACTTGAAGTCTTTGAAAGACTATGAATGACTAGTGAGCATTAACAATTAGGCATTAATTTGAATAAAATGATTTTTTTTTCTAAAAATGAGCAAGAATGAGCTGAGAACATGAGTTTGGTACATCTTGTGCCACTTAAGAAATGGGAGCATTTACTGAAAATAATGTTCTGAGGATGGAAAGGAGCTATCCAGTGAATAAAATAAAGTATGGAGTTACAGGAACCAGTGCTGTTTCAAGCCAAACTTGTTTCACATGCATAGAGTTGGGAGTCTTGTAGGATATTGTGCTGGTTTTGGCTGGGAAAATGTTAATTTTCTTCACAGTACATAGTTTGGGGCTACATTTTGCCCCAAAATGTGCTGAAAATTGTGTTGATAAGAGATGTTTTGTTATTGCTGAGCAGGGCTGACATTGAGCCAAGGCCTTTTCTGCTTCTTGTACTGCCATGGAGACTGGGGATGCTTGGGAAATGGAGAGGGGACACAGCTGGGACAGCAGATCCCAGCCCACCAAAGGGGTATCCCAGAGCATGTGACAGTCATGCTTGGCAAAGAGAGGGGTGAAGAAGGAGGAAGGGGGGGATGTTTGGAGTGGTGCCTTTTGTCTTCCCAAAGAACTGTTACTCGTGATGCAGCCGTGGTTTCCTGGGCATGGTTCAATGCCTGCTGCCCATGGGAAGTGGTTCATGAATTCCTGGTTTACTTTTCCTGTGCATGCAGCTCTTGCTTTCTCCATAAAACTGTCTTTATCTCAAGCCATGACTTTTCTTACTTTGATTCTGATTCTCTCAGCCATGCTGGGAGATGGAGGTGGTGGGGAAGGGAGCGAGTGGCAGCGTGGTGCTTAGGTGGCAACTCAGCTTAGACAGTGACAAATATTGACCCAGAGCAGCATCCACAAGTGCAGAAATGGCAGACAAGTAAGGGAACAATACAGAGTTAGATTTGAAAGTCTGGACACCAGCTGAGAAATTATGCAGTTAATGACCTCGAGCAGTCAATTAAAAAAGCCTATATATTACTTTGTTCTGTTGCCTCTAGGTATGAAGAGAAAATGAAAGGACATTGTGGCCTTTTTGCCAAAAGCAACACTCAGGAATACAAGCACATAGAGGAAGCAAGTCTTTGATATTTTATGGGAAAATGAAATAAAATTTATTAGAAATTAAAATAAAAAAAGATCTATTCTTGTGAATGTGTGTTTGGGAAGGTTTTACACAGATAGTCAACACACCATTTAGTTTCCTTGATAAATAAAAAGTCTCAGTCCTAGGATATACATACATAATACAGTTCCAGTTGTTTGAGGGTAACAGATTGATAGTACAGTTGAAGCTGAATTTCTGCAACAGCTGCATGTATGACACCTGGAACCAAGACAGTGTGAGGAGCCATGGGGAAAAGTCATCTGTGGGAAGAGACTTCAGGAGAGATGTCCAGATTTCACTCCCTGTTCTATTCTTCCACATGAAATTGCATCTCAGGTGGCTGCATTAAGTTTTCTCCTATGATTTCCTATAGTTTCGAAGTCCTTGAGTAATTTCTTCAATTTTGGAAGGTGTACTTGGCCAATATGACTGAAGTAGGGGCCTTCATCCTTCTCTAGGATGGGCAAGCAAGAGACATTCTCTGTTGTTCAGAGAGAGCTTCTGCTCCTATCATTTGCAAATTAGGATGGTAGGAAGTAAGGGGAAATGTCTTTTACAGACACTGTAGCCTTTGCACACTCTGCTCCCCAGCTGTATTCTACCTGCATTTGATTTCCAAGGGCTAGCATTTGGCTACTTTATGTGAATATATCCCTTCCCATCTCAC